ATCCCCCCCCGGAACAAATGCCCTGAAAACTGCCAGGACATGTCCAAGCCTTCTCTTGAGGGGCAGTTATGAGTGAGCGCGGGCAAAAAAAAAAAAATTGTTTGTATTTATGCCTTAATTATCCCATTTGTTAGAATATTCCAACCCTTCTGAACTGTTTTTCCCTTCAGAATTTCTATTCATGGAATTCTTCCTATTTTCTCACTTAGTTTATTGATGTCAGCTTTCTTGAAATCTAGAACACTAATCCGATTGCCTTCACTCTGCCTGCAATAGGGTGACTTTCTGCTCTTTATAGGGTTTATATTAGTGTTTTATTGTATGCTGCACTGAGAGATGGTGATACAGAGTGACTAATACTCTGTATAAACAAACAAACTTGTATGCCACCTGCCTCTCAACAACTCTGCACAGCTCACAACAGTCAAATGGAAGCAGATCCAACCTGATGGTTAATAAAAGCCTGAAATGAACTCAATCCATGATGTTGGATGAATATAAAGTGACTTAAAGAGTTCTGGTAACTACTACTGGAGTACTGTGATCTAGTTTGATTGATTATATTGTACATTCATTTACCATGAAGTTACCTTTCTGAATACAGGTGCCATATGCCAGAAAACCTGGCAAGGAGCCAGAAGAGGAAACCTACAGTGCAGAGAACTTCCGTCGCATTGCACGCAGTCTCAGTGGGACAGCCCTCACAAGCAAAGAGGAGAAACTTGTTTCTTTTCAGAATTTTGTAAGTAAAATAGTCAAAAACGAAATTTCTTGAATTGTTTTACTTTATTGGTTTAGTGTGATTGCTAAAGGTTTTACAGGAAGAATAGCTTGTTTCATATGCAATTCATCCTGTAATCTCATCACATTTTATGGAAAATATCTTCCTGCTTGTATACCATTTGCAGTTAGGATAATTAAGATTCAAATGCCATTTATTTAATTTTGCATTTCTAGTGCCAGTATGTTCTAAACCACTGACTTACTTTCTAGCACATTCCCTTTTGTTTTTCCTCCTTCTCTTTCCATATGATCTCTACATCTTCCCAGCACCAGTGGAGAAACTATTGTTATAAATATACTATTAACCAACAGGACATCACTGAAGGCAATGTGATGCCAGGCAGTAGGAGACAGAGCAGCATGAATGTACATCCAAGACTCATAAAAATGCCTACAATATAATCCATGTGTTCCTGTGATACCAGTTCACTTCAAGGGTCATGCTGGCAAGCTTTTTAAAAAGTTTTTATTTATTTAATTAAATCAAATAGAAAAAGGAAAAAATGCAAAGCAATAACAAAATTATATATGTGAGTGTTTCTTATATATGTATATAAAGTTTTACACAACATTTTCAACAGAGGATTTCCATATTTCATTAGAACCATCCATATATAATCTGTGTTTATAAGCAACTCATTCATAAGTTGCAAGTAGAATCAGCTCTTAAATCCACTGATTAATTGGTATAATACATTTATATTTCCAAGTTAAAGGACATGTCTCTTAAGAAGGACATGGACATTGTCTAGCTATCAATTTGCATGTAACAGGGATGTAATTCAAAAGAACATCCAAATTATTAAACCCTATCTCAAATTAATATGTGTAATGTCTTCTTTCCAGAACATCATGAACATAAATGTTTTAATGAAGCATTATTCTCTTTACACCTCCAACAACAGAATTATTTATTAGATTTATTTAATTAGATTTATATGACACCATGGTGGTATACATCCCTCCACCTTTTTTTCCCCACAATAACAACCTTGTGAAGTAGGTTAGACTGAGAACATGTGACTAGGCCAAAGTCACCTAGTGAACATCTGTAGATGAAAGTGGACTAGAACCTTGGTCTCCATGCTCCTAATCAACACCATAATCACTACACCACATTGGTTCTAAAGATTTACATGTTCCCTTCCTATACAAAGGTAACAAGGTCCAATTAGTCCAAAATATCATTTTTTGTTGACTAAGCTATAATCTAAGAACTTTTCAAATTTTTGATACAGACATTATTTAGACAAAATGGGGATCTTCAGTTCCTTGTGCTATTCAATCTTTAATATGAGTGTGTCAAATTGTTTTATCATTAACACTTATTATAAACAATAATTATGAGCTTTTTGTGTCTCCTAAGATTTAACTATCATTACTAATAATTTAGGTGTCTGAACCTGAGAATAGCCCTGTTCCAAACTGAGATGTCAGTAGATATTGCCAGTATAGTAATTTAACATAGGACATGGTTAAAAAAAACAACAACTCTTCATTAGTATCCAGTAAGTGATCTAAAAATCTCAATATCCATCCAAGCATCCATCCAAATAGTTTGGGCTATTTAACAAGAACCTTAAATTCCATCCTCACATGGGAAGGGTTGGCAAAATCTAATTTAGCCTGGTTATGTTTGTTGTGTAATCAGGGCAATTATTTATTCCTAATAGATTTTCTTTGCCACAGTCTCTGGTCAAAGTGTCCTAAATAGCCAAAAGAAAAGAAAAATAAGTGATTAAAATCATCAGTTTTTTCTGCTGCAAATACTGTATTTTTCTCTTTCACTGAATATGAAAACAAAAACTATGCTTCAAATTATGGAATGTTATTCTGTTTGACACTCATTTTTTGATTCTTGCCAGCTGATTCTCAGATGTGCCTTACTGAGGATTTGGTCAAAGAAAGAAGAGGATCAGTTTCTAAAGAGTCTCCTATGAAAAAAAAATCTTAACTAATTGAAATGTCTTACTGGAAGTTAAAACATAATCAACTGTGCTAGTTCTTCTTCCTGAGGAACAAATATTCCTCAGCCTGTAAATTATCATTTAGAATCTTTGAGGCATCTGTCCCTTCATTTGTCATAATGAAAAATAAAACTCTTTCTCATTCTCAGATGCTACAGCCATAAGGAAAAAAATTATCACCACCAGCATGAACATTAAAAACACCAATAAATAGGGATGTGAAAACTGTCCTGTACATGAACTTTTCCATGCATGGAACAGCTGTTTTGGGGTGATCAGCGCCCAAATCCAAGCAGGCATGTTTCAGATGGGGCTGTTCTGTTCCAGGTATCAACCAAAATGTGGCTGTTCCAAGCAGGAGTGGTTCAGGGAGAGGAGATGGAAAAAGCCAAGACTGAGGAGTTTCCTTGTCCATGTTGTACGTGGACCTGAGTGGTGGCAGCAACAGCTGAGGAAAGGCAGAGGAGAGTGGGAACAGACGGCAATAGAAGATCAGGGGACAGGTGGGCCAATGGGATGTACTGCAATAGCTGAGGGAAGGGAGGAAGGAAAAGCACTGGGAAGTCAGGAGCAAGTGGGAAGGACTTCTGGTGACGATATGATGAGCTAGAAGTCCCTGAAGGAGTGGGGAAGGCATTACAGCTGAAATCAGCGGTCAGAGGATGGATCCTGGCCAGCGAAATCTCTGGAGAAAGGAGAGATTGTGGGATCACCCACATGTACTCCAGACAGCTGCTACTTGTGAGTAAACTGCAGGAACCGGGGGTTTTGCAGCCGGCTGGTGAGTGGAGCAGCTGGGAGTCGAGGGATTCCATCTACGCCTGCAACCATAATGTATCGTATGTAGACATAAAGCTTGTCCAAGCCTCATTTCTTAATCACATTTGGAATTACTTTTTTACTGTTTTTTTAAATATTACGAATCTTCAGAACGGCAAGTTTGATGGGATTCACTGGGTGAGTTTCCTTCAATCCTCAGTGAAAGAAAGTGCGACTTTAGGGACTTAGCAATTTTGGGGAATAAATGACAAAAGAGTGATTAGAGTGTTGTTTTTGTTTTAAATGGACTAAAGGTCTAGATGGACTTGAAATGTGATTCTGAAATTAATTGAATGAATGCTTCCTGTGGGAGAATGGCTTGTGATTTGAATTCCAAAAAAAAAAAAAAAAGATAGAATGGGACACTGGAGGGAGCTAAAAGGAAGTAAAGATTACAATTAAAGGAAAAGAACACATATTTGACTTGTTAACACAGAATGGAGCAAAATATGTTAACACTGAATGTACTGAAGATATACATGAACAATGGACTCAAAAGTTAATTTTAAGAATGTCTGCCATCATAGATAGATTCTGTGTGGATGATGTTATGGAAGAGGAACAAGTTCTATTGGGTAAGACTAAAATAGATTTGAACGTGGATTTAAAAATGACAGGCTACAAGAATGATCTGCAAAAAGATGAAATACTGGACATACAAATGAAACCAGCTGACTTTCTATAGTTAAAAGGGATTTACCAACAACCAACCAGGAGAGTGAGTTGGATAATTTTCCTATATTAGATCTACAAAGGAGACCTGTTAAAAATTTTGACAGACTTGGTGAGAAGGGACAAAGGAAAAAAAAAGAAAGAAATCAAGTTCTAGGACATTATTTCAAGGGATTAAAGTGCTCAAATGCTCTTGCAAGACAACAATTTAGAGAAAACAACAACCCTATACACTCTATACATCTATTAATATAAGTTTCGGAGTCCAAAATGAATGAATAATATTAACCATGTCTATATGCATATTATAATGTTTATGTATTATCTGTGCTGAAATAGAATTCTGGGGAATGGGATGGTTTGAACTGCAGTTTTTTCTTATCATATTCTAGTAACTTTTATCAATTTTTGGCTCTGTACTCTGCCACCTGCTTGCCCTTGCTGTTCCCAGTTTTGGTTTTAATTTATTTCTCTTGTTCCTTGTATTAAAAGGAAGTGTCCAGTGAGAGGAAAATGTCAGTGGAAGCCAGGCACCATTCTTCCAGCACTACTTCCCTTCCGTTTCCTCCCAGTTCGCCCCCTGTGCTACCCTTCTACCTGCAGCGCTCTTCATCCCAACTGCAACCCTTCTCCCATGATGCCCCAGTGACTAGTCTGGTGGGCAAGATGCACAGACAATCAGGTGAATGACTGGGATTTTTTTTAAAAAATGTATTTATTAATTGTTAAAAAAGAAGAAAGAGTGAACAAGCAAGCAAAAGGAGAAAAAAATATTGATACAGAAATACAATCTTTATACATGGACAAAGGAATTGCCAAGATTTTACAGTTAGTGCTCAGCATATCTGTGATGAGAAATTAACTATAAAAAAGAAAGAACATTAAATTATTTTAATGATCTGAGCAAGGATTTGAATCTCTGAGCTAAGTGCCAGAATCTCTACTCTTTGTTATTTAAGGATACAAAAAGGAAAAGAAGAAAAACTAAAACGTTATAGAAAAATAATAGTTTCTAACTTCCACTTTGTTGTACTCTTGACTAATGTACCATATTTATAGACATTTAATATTTTTGTGTGATTCTGATTTCATCTGTTTCATCAGTTCTTTTTCCCCTTAAAAACCATACTCTAAATTCTTACATTTTTCTTGCTGTGTAATATATAGTATATATGGAAGCCATTCTTGCTTAAATTTGATTAGGTTTCTGTTGTGAATATATGTTGTATGACTGGGCTTTTTTGTCCATCTACATGTTGAAAATTCAGTACTTGACTCTTCTGTTTACTGAATTTACTGAACTTTGTTCTATATAGCAGTGCTGTTTTGATCCATTCATGTACCTGAAATAGAGTAATTTCCTTCAAATGCTATCCTACGTGCTACACTGCTTGAAAAGTTCTGTAATAAACATGTGGGTGTATTCTTTTAGCTTCTGTTGGCAGAATTTATTCGTTTTGTTTTAGATGACTCTACCTTAGATGAGAGCCAGTTTGGTCTAGTGGTTAAGCACCAGGCTGGAGACTGGGTTTTCTAGTCCCACCTTAGGCATGAAGCCAGCTGGGTGACCTTGGGCCAGTCACTCTCTCTCAGCCCTAGGAAGGAGGAGACAAGGGCATTCTTCCTTCCAAACCCTGGAACTACCTTCAGAGGTTTGGGTGGGAATGGGCAGATGTAGCACTGAGAGAAAAACATTGTTTTTATCTTTCCATGCTTTATCCCATAGAGCCAACTTCAACCATTCATTTGATGTGAAGGACAGTAAAGATCTGACCTGAGGGATTTGACAAGTGGAAGCTATTTGGCTGTATGATTGTGGGAAAAAAGGGTGTGTCTCTTTTCAGCTATGTCCCAACAAGTAATGCCTTTATCTTACGCGTCCCAATGGAAGTACTGACAACCAACCTCTTCCTTGCTACTAATTGTTGAAGGACTCTCTGCATGGGCGATGGTGTATTGTGTCTTGCCCTGAGAGACTGCATAAATGACACAGTCACAGGCACCTTCTAGATATATACTGTACTGTTAGCATCTTTGGCAAGCATTTAACAGCAACCATCGGGCATTCTACTTTCTTCTTAACTTTGAATGTAATCTTTGAACCTATGCATGCGTTGTAAGTGTAACCCCCTCCTAGCACTTCATGACAGGCAAGCATAGACTTCATATCAGCATAATCTTAGGGCATCAAAAGGCAGGTTGCCCTCTCCAGGCTGGGCTCTTTTGGGAAAACTGCAAGCAGAACCTTCGGAGAGACCTAGTAAAGAAGTTGTTGTGCCTGAGCTGAGGCAACCATCTCAACAGTTCTGATAAACTGCTAGAAACACCAGGAAAGAACAGGGAAGTCTAACAAATGTGAAACAAAAGAATATCTGTTTCAGCCCATTATTATTTCAGTAGAAATAAGCAGCCGGGAAGTTGTGTTAGTTTCTTGATTTCTTTTTTGCTGTGTTGCTTAAGTCTAATTTTTTCTCTATCCAAGTGAGAAATCCATGTAAAATATACAAGTTATTTACTGTATAATGATCTGAGCTTGGTTGAGATTATGAATATACCACTAACAAGTATTAAGATTTGACAGTAGTTAACAATTGCCTAGAATGGCCACAGCCACCCAAGGGTCACAGTCCAAACTGTGATCAAGAAAATAGTTCAGCACTGATTGGCACATACTGTAGAAGCTGCTAATTAAATGCAGTATGAAGTATGTGATGTCATTTATGGCAATTTATATTTCCCCCCTTGAACTATTTCAGGCTTTCATTAAATAAGCATTCTCAAAGCAAATTATTCAGTCAGTTGTACTTCTTCTGTTCCTTTTGTGAGTAGTCTAGAATTACTTCTGCAGTATTCAGTATTACCTACAATGGAAGAAGGGATGGTGAAGTTGATGGGGTTAGCTGAGATGGCGAAATTGACAGCTTTGCTTATAGAAAAAAATTGATTAACTTTAATGCTAATTGGAAGCCGCTTTTTGACGTTTTGCAGGAAACAGAAAAAAACAAAATTATGATTTGATGATTAGTAAAATTAATAGACTATGCAAAAATATATGTTAAGATGTAGTTTTAGAGTAAGAGGTTATTTTATGTTTCATTTATATTTGCTGTATAAGAAGTTGGAAATCATTCTTTTTGTATTTGTGTTTTTCTTTTCCTTTTCTATTTTTCAGCACTTTTGTTTTCTTTCTCTACCTCTAGCTTTCTTTCTTTTTATTCTATTTCTTGATTATTAGTTTGTGTTAGTTTTTATCTTTCTGCTTTCTAAAATTACTTTTGTAATGATAGGATTGGTAATATATATGTAAAAACTCAAATTCCTTTCCTGATAACTCCACTGATATGTATTATTTTTTTGCTATTCAGCTTAGGGTAAATAAATAATATTTACAATTTGTTCGTTTCCTCAGGAAATCAGAAGAGCATCCAAAAATGTCTAGCTGCGCCTGACAGGAGTGCAGCTTTCCAAACAGAAGACAACCCATGTGGGCCACTGAGTTACGGAAGCCCCACTTACAAACAGGACCTGTCTTCTGAAGGGCAAAAATCTCTTAATAGATCTTTAGACAGTGGAACATCAAACACTTTCAACCTCTGTAGGCTACAGAGAAGTCCTACTGACCAAGAGATAGCAGTATTGTCAGATAGAGAAACAGTACATTGGGAATATACTACACAGATGAACAAGGGCTCACAAGAACATTCGCCCCAGTGGCCACTCCCTCAAGGAAAGGATGAAGCTTGTGGTCTTGATTGGAGGCAATCGCCTAGCAGGGGTTACAGCACAGTATCACATGGAGCTTCAAGACACAAAGGCTTTCAAAGTTGCCTTCTGACTTCCCAGCAAGCTAAGGTCCGAGGCCCAAGACGAGTAGATATGCCCCCAGATGAAGACTGGCGGCAGCACACCTTTGCTCCACAGCCTGCAACAAGAAGAATGTTGCCAGTGCACATGATGGATGGAGCTTCTTCATCCTCTTTGGAAATGCCCTGTAAAACACTAGCCCATGCAGCTGTTGCCTCCATGCACAGCCATGACTGGTGAAATGTCACCCTGCCATTTGGTTGTTCCTTTTTGAAATAGGCTCTTATCTGAATTGAAGATACTGAAATAAGATAGCAAGATTTTTTCAGCCACTTATTGCCAGTTTTGTCTTTAAAGTAGTTATATGATTGCCGAAAACTAACTGCACTTTATTTCTGTGTATGTACTGCTGTTTATAAGAATCTTTTCACCAATTCCATTCCTAACCTTTCGCTACAGGAAATGGTTTATCACTCACCTGCAGGAGAAGGGAGGGTAAGGTTTGCATTTGAACTAAAAATTAAATCCTCTGATATTTTCTATAGGCTGTATTTGGTGAATTAATGTATCATGTTAAGTAGCACTAGAAAACCTATGTGCCAACTTACAATTCAATGTTACGTTCTTCTGCTCCATTACATGCTGGGGGGAAGATGTTAGAATCTTTTTACAGAACTGGCAAAGCTTATAATTTAATAAGGCACTTTGTGCTGAGATACAGGCACAGATAACTACTGTAGGGGCTAGTGAGGGAGTGGTAAGAAATATGGCACCAGCCCATTTCCCATTTTTTTCAAAGTAGACTAACAGTGTTTGAAGTAGCACATTTAATAAACACAGAATCACTGTAACTATTTTAGGCTCTGACATACTTGCCTTTGTAAGTTTTTTCAAATAAATCAATGAAATAGTTATATCTATTGAATGATTATTAATTGCTTTTACCTCTTCAGAAAGGTGTTCAAAAAATTGGAACAGTTCTTTCACTGTTCAAACTTTTTTTTACTCTCCACAGTATTAAATGTTTTACAAGTTGACTTTTATAATCACTTATTTTGTGGATCTAGCTAAAATAATGTGCTTATAAGATTATGACTTACAATACAACATTGTGAATGATGCAGAGAAAATAGATGCTGACAGCTACTCTATTGCATGGGCTTATGACAGACAACGTATATTGCAAGTCAGTAGTTCCGGCCAGCACGTATTTGTTTCTGATCCTTGAAGTCACAAACTACTACAGCTTATCTCTTTATGCTCCTGCAAGTAGCCTTTCATCCCTCTGTTGGTCAGGGCTCCTACCTCTTATTTCTTTCTTCAGAGCATTTCTACTACAAGGGCCCTGTAGCTATTTCTAAGATATGGAGAGGCTGGTTGCATCACTCAAGTAATTTGGAAATTCACGAGTAGTGAGAGAAATTTGTTTCTCATCTCTAGCACCTTAGATGCTCTTTTTGTCACCTAGCTTGCAATGTGGGGGAGGTCTTTCTTTACACTGAAGGAGCAGTAGAAATAGCATACAACTGTAGAGCTGATGTCAGGAAAGTGAAAGGTCAGAATGAGCTGAGATTAGCAAAGGGTGCAAGGAATAACAGAAAGGCCTGTTTAAAATGTGCGGAAAATACAGAGAAAAGAATCAGTATACCGACTGCTCAATGAACAAGGCATAATGCTAACTAATAACAAAGTAAAGCCAGAGCTGCTGAACTTTTTTTTTGGTTTAGTTTTTCACTAGGAAGTGTGAAGAACAGGATGAAGGGGCAGGATTCAGACTGAGATGGAGAGAAACGTGATCAAGAAATATCTGTATTTTGGATTAATGACTTGAAATTCAAGGGCCCTGTGAATTGCATTAAGCAGCTGATCCCTCGCTGTATTTTGGAAAAAGTTTGGAGATCTGATTTAAGTGCTGGGTGACTGGGACAGCGCACGCCTTCCTGCCTTTGGGGGGGGGGAATAATCCAGGACATTACTGATCGTCTCGATCTGCAGATCTAAAGAGATCTGTAAGCACCTGGAAAACAATGTAATTACCAGAAGTCCGCATAGATCTTGCCAGGCTCACCTTATCACGTGTTTCACACGCACACACTCTCTCTCTCTCTCTCCCTCTCTTCCCCCCCCCCCCCCCCCCCCCCCCTCCCTCCCTCCCTTCCCCCCCCCCCCCCCCCCCCACACACACGCGCGACGGCTCTTCTCGTACGGAACGGAGCAGACATTCCCCCTCCCGCTCCTCCCCAAGCCGGGCCAAAAAAAAACCCATACAAGCGCGCCACCTGCCGGCTATTGGAGGACACGCAAGCGGAGGCTTTGACGGAGAGGAAAAGAAAGCCGAAGAGATTCTTTGTTGGGAAGGAATATACGTACCGTGGCATATTAATTAAGACAGGCAGGGCAAAATAATATAGTAGTGCAGAGATGTAGAAGGTAGATATTGCAACTAAGGGTAATCTTAGGACAGCCTTAGAACTAAGAACATCACAGGAATACCTGTAAGTTACTGTAATGGGACCAACCAGACACAACAGGAGTATTAATGGAGCACCAAGACGTAGATCGAGACATAAGAAACCAGCCTTAGGAAGTAAGAGCTATAGATACAAACTGTGCAATAAGGGATTAACCTATAAAATAAGAGGTTATGTCTAAAATTCCTTTTTATTGTACAATAAAACTGCCCCAGCTCCCAGAGGGAGATAAAAAATCAAAACTTCTTACAGTTGAATCTTTGTTGAGTCTGTGGTCAATCTGATTAGTGGTAGCCAAAAAACTCTTTATGTTCCTCAGGCCAGTATCAAATGCATAAAAATGACTGAGCTCCAGTGTAGCAGCCATTAAGTGTTAGGCACTCAATGCTACCCAAGTTTTAGAGAGCCAGGCAAAAAACTTGAGACGAGATTTCTGTGAAAGTTAACAGATGTATTTTGATCAAGACACAACTGGGTGAGCCCAATCAACACCGTGGCAATGAATGCTGATTGAACCACACTTTGCAAAGCAAACATCAGAGGCTTTATAGAAAGGTACAGGTGTAAAAAAAAATTCAAATCAAATAGAGCATCCTCTCATGCCCATACAAGGGATTTTTGGGATGGTCTAGGGGAGGGGTAAAGGTGGG